TGAAAAATTCAGATTTTTTTTATACATATACTATATTATTTGACACAAAATATTATCTGTTTAAAATATAGATTGTATGATATAGTTGTTAAAAATATTATTTAAATGGAAGTATTTTGAAAATATCACTATTCACTTTTTGAAAAATTTAAAATTGATTAGTTGTATTATTTTGACAAAATTGATTAATTGGTTGGCTGGTCACTATTTACTTTTTTGCAAAATTAAAGCTGATTAATTTTTTTTGACAAATGTGATATTAATGAATTATTCCTTTTTGATATACTCACATGGGATGATTGGTTATTTTTATTTTATTTGAGTGTATTTATAATCTCTTCAACAATTACAAAACTTTTAAGTGGGGTATATTATATTTTATCTGATATGTGTATATATATATATATATGAATGTGAATTGAATTTTATACTCAAAATTATGATGACTTGCCTACAAAAGTGGACAAAGGAAAGGTGTAATGTTTGACAAAGAAAAAAGTGGATAAAGAAAAGGTGTAAAAGTTGGACAAAGGAAAAGTGGACTAAGAAAAAAAAGGATATGCTGTCAAAGAGAGTCTTCTCTTCCAACAGGTATATCTTTTGGTATAAATAGAAGTGATGTGTATGGAGAAAAATTAAAAACTTGAAGAGAGAAATTTCTATGTGCTCCAAAATTTTGAGTATATTGTATTCTGGTCTTTCACTTTTAGATCTAAGTGTATCATTTGTTCTTACACTTTCATATCTACTATTTGTGAGAGAATTATTGTAGAAGAGGGTTTAAGTACCACTTATTTTTATTCATTATTTTTGTGAGAGGTTTTTGTAAGAGTGAGACATTTATTATTGAGTGGGGCTCAATAGATAAGAGTAAGTCCTGTGCCAAATCCACAAGCTTGGTGGTATATTTATTCAGTTGATAGTAAAGAAATTCTCAAGGAAGTTCCTTGGGAAGTGGACGTAGGCCTGGCGTGCCAAACCACTATAAATCTCAATGTTTAATGTTCTCTCCCTATCTCTCTTACTTTTATATTAATAATTATTTTATTTTTTTTGTTTGTTAAAATTCTGAATATTGTGTTAATATTAATATTGTAAATTTTTTTTAATAACCTAATTCACCCCCCCTCTTGGGTTGCCTACTTGCGATAACAATCGACCTTAATATTACCCTTTTAACAATTCTTTTATGTAGTTTTATATTCATAAGTTTTACAAATCTAGGCCACTTTGGCAGCTACTAAATTAGTAAACCTTATGAATACTGAACTAACCAACAATATTCTCTATTAATTAATTTGAGTTATTTAATTATCATTAATTCAATAACTATTTTAATGAAATCACTATTTTTTTGATTTCTAAAATTTCTTTTATATGATTGCAATTACCAATATAATAATAATAACTTTGGACAAACATGAATATATATATATATATATATCAAATTATGCAATATGACAATCGTGAATATCTCATATAATGGTCAATAAGAATTGCATCTAATATGAATTAACCACTTCAATATTTAATATTCAATGTCATAAAATTATTTCATGATATCAAATTTAAATCATAAAAATAGATCAACAATAATAGACAATAAGTGTACATAATTAGACAAGGTAAAACCATAATTATCTAACATAATGCAGTCAAATAAATATATTTATTTAATAGACAAAATGATTTAACAAAATTCTAAAATTGCTTTTAATCTATGCACTTTGTCACAATGGCAGACAATATGAATATTACACTCAATTTAGTGTCATATTATAATGATTATAAAAATTATTATTGCTAAAATTAATAATAAACTGAAGCATGCATATTACACGTTTATCATGCAATTTCGATCCCTCATTTTTGGAGCCGATAGCCCTGCTCACCTCTTTAACCTTACTAAGTGAATTGGCTTCAGACAGTTATGCCTCAGATGACACATCAGAAAAAAGTAAGGAACCACACTTCATGAATAATTATAATTATAATATAATAACAATATTCATAAATATATTATTATCCCAATGTTTATTGATTTACAAAACTAAGGCTTTGATACCACATGTAAGAAATTAATGTACATGTAGCTATAATAATAATGCAGAATTAACTTTGGAGGATCTTGAATTCAATACAACTCAAGAATAAAACGAACATACCTTTAGCTGCCATAGAATTAGAGAAGTTAAGAAAATACCCCTAGTAGTTGAACCTTGAATTCTTGGCTCACCTTCTTCTCTCTATCTCTCTTAATTAGGATGACTATAGAACTTAGAGTGATGGATAAATACTCATATCATGTAAGGGGAGTCACTCATCCTTAAATAGTGGAGAAAAGAGGGTCTGATAAACTCTATCAAAAGAATTCTTCTCCATCAAAGTTTCCTTCTTATCTTAGAAAATAATTATATTAAAATTTTAATTACTGAACTTAATCTCAAATATTGGCTTTTATCTAATTGTGGAGTATAAATAAAATAAAACATGTAAGAAATATGTAGGCTATTGGGCCACACTAAAGAATAAATCCAACAAGAGCACCACGTGACTATGTCTAAGACCAACTGATAACTTCTCACTTTTTTGTGAGAGTTATGATTTGTTTTTGTATAAATAATTTTTTCTACTTTAATATTAATATGAGACCTTTTTTATTTTAAAATCTTACATTAGATTTCTTTTAACTTTTTAGATTATAAAATTATACATAATTTTTTTTATTAGAGATGAGACCTACACACTTGATGGCTATGCTTGATTTTGCGGTGAGATTATGTGTACTTGCTTTTTTTTTTTATAATATATTATATTTTTTTATAGTTAGATGGAAGCACTACAAGAAAAGTGGGCTTAAAAGACGAAATTTTTTGTGACGGCACATTTGCCGTCACAAAAAATAGAGTATTTGCGACGACAAAAAATGCTGTGGCGAAAAAGGAGAGTATTTGCGACGGCAAAAATTGTTGTCGCAAAAAAAAAAAGAGTATTTGCGACGGCAGAGATTGTTGTCGCAAAAAAAAAAATAGAGAATTTGCGACGGCAGAGATTGTTGTTACAAAAAAATAGAGTTTTTGCGACGGCACCAGAAAAAAAAAAAAAGGAGTTTTTTGTGACTGTAACAGGTACCGTTGCAAAAAAAGAAAAGAAGTAAAATATATATATATATATATTGTGGCTTTGAGACGGCTTCATGTATATAGTCACAAACTGGTTTAAATAAATGCAACGGTATTTTTCTGTCACAAAAAATAAAAATAAAAAAAGACAATGTCGTCTTACTCTTTTGATATAACATTTATCTTTTCACCTATTTTTTCATCTTCCTGTCTCTCTGTCTCTGTCTCTCTCCTCTTTCTCTCTCTCACTCATCACTCTTCTTTATCTGTCTGTTTCTCTCTTTCTCTCTGTGTCTGTGTCTGTGTCTGTGTCTCTCTTCTCTTTCTCTCTCTCAATCATCACTATTCTCTGTCTGTCTGTCTGTCTCTTTTTCTTTGTGTTTGTGTCTCTATCTCTGTCTCTCTTCTCTTTCTTTCTCTCTCACTTATCACTCTTCTCTATCTGTTTGTCTGTCTCTTTCTCTCTGTGTCTCTTGTCCATCTCTCTTCTCTCTATCTCTCTGTCTCTCTTCTCTTTCTCTCTCTCTCACTTATCACTCTGCTTTATCTGTCTGTCTGTCAGTCTCTTTCTCTCTGTGTCTCTCGTCCATCTCTCTTCTCTCTATTTCTCTCATCTCTCTTCTCTCTCTGTCTCTCTTCCCTCTCTGTGTGTCTCGTTCATCTCTCTTCTCTTCATCTCTCTTGCTCTCTCGTGAGTCTCTCTGTATCTCTCTCTTGTTTATCTCTTTTCGCTTTCTTTCTCTCTTTGTCTATCTCTCGCTCATCTTTTGTTTCTTTCTTTTTTTTGTCTCTCTCTCTCTCTATCTCTCTCTCTCTCATTTATCATTCTTCTATCTATATTTCTCTCTCTGTCTATCTATTTGTTTGTCTATCTGTCTGCCTCTCTCCCTAACTGTGTTCGACTTGCTCACTTTCTCCCTTCCATCTTGTCTATTTACCGAGCTCCATCTCGAGTTATCGATCCACTATAAGAAAATGCACTTTTAGCGACCACTTTGTCTCTATTTCTCTATCTCTCTTTTTTATCTCTCTCTCAGTTATTTCTCTCTCTTACCACCCATCTCCTCTACCACTTTCACCACTACTGCAAATGTCATTCTACTACCACCACTGCTACCACTGTTGCCACTCTACCTTTACAACTACCATTACTACCACCATCGCCACCACTCCACTACTACCACTACTATTGCCACTACTACTACCATTATCTCTCATCTACCACCGCCACTCCATCTCCTCTACCATTACCACAATTTCACCACTAATCTCCTTCACCATCCCCATCACCACCACCACCACCACCACTTTCACCACTACTGTTGCTCCCTCTTCTCTATCATAAAAAAATTAGTTCATGATTTATAGTAACCAAAAAAAATGGGCCACAAAAAAAAAAAAAAAAATTATTGACCACAAAAAATTAACTTTATTTTAATAGAAAATATTTTTCATTAAAATACTACCTTTACTTCTACCAAATAAAAAAAAGTTTTAATAGAAAATATTTTTTTTTTCATTAAAATAAAAATGAAACAAATAAATTCTTAATGAAAAATAAAAAATAATAAAAAAAAGAAAAATCAAAAAAAAAAAAATCATTAACTAAAAAAAATGAAAAATAAATAAGTAAATAAATTCATTGGAAAATGTCTCGTAACTCAAATTTTGTGGCTCAAAAGTGGCTTAAATGGCCAAAACGACTTCGTTTTGGCCATTTTTATGTTGTTCTGTACTCAAAACGACGTCGTTTGGCCATTTGAACCACTTTTGAGCCACAAAATTTAAACTACGTAGCATTATCGAAATTCATTAACTACAATATATATATATATTTTAAAGAAAAAAAAAATGAAATTGTTTTCGTTTTCCCTCAATTTCTATCTCAATTCCCCCCTAATTCCCTCCTTTTGTTTCTCACGATGTCCCCAATCCCTAACCTAACACTCCCTATCACTCTCCTCTCTCTTTATCTCTTCCGCCTACGTCGTCGCCTCTAGTGCCGCCACCGGCGACCACTACTGCCGCCGCCACACCTTCTCTCTCATTGCCATCTCTCTCGTCGCCTCAGTGATCTCGATTCATCTTAGTGAGGGAGCGAGAGATTCATTTCAGAGCAATTTCGCTTTTGATTTCGAAGTTCTCTCTCAATTTCGAAGTTTTGTCTCTCTTGATTTCGAAGCTCCACCGCCACCACCGTCTGCACCGGCGAGAGTGAGCACCATCGTCTACTACGGTGAGCACCGCCGTCTACAATCTCAGTTTTGTTTTCTCTTCCTTCACATCGATTCTTCTCCTAGGGTTTGCAATCTTGAATCTTCTCCTAGGGTTTTCAATTAGCCATCTGTAATAATCTGCTTAACATAGGTACAATGATGATTTGGTTATGCAGATAAGGATCGAAAATTGGGATTAGAACGCCTTAGATAGAAGGCAGTTGAAGAGGTTCTATTCTATATATCTTCTCTCTTCTATGGAATTGCCATTATATATATATATATATATATATTTTTAATATAAATAAATGTTAGTCTCAATTCAAATTTGTGTGACAGAGGCCTGTGTGATGGAGGCCTGATAGATTAGAAGGTGAGAGTGCCCGCACTTCTATTCTCAACTCTGTTTGCCCTATTGCTTTTGTTTAATTTTCAGGTATGTATCTTAACTCTGTTTGCCCTACTGCTTTTGTTTAACTTTGGAGGAATGATTGAAATTCATTTTGGTGAGAATAGGCTGGCTGTTTTGTGTGTTAATGCTATGATTGGGTTAACAAATTGTTGTTGCTATCTTGCCATATTTTTAATGCATTTTGCAAAAAAAGGATTTGAAGCTGAAATTGAATTCTATTTTGTCATTTTTCACTTATTTTACCAGTCGAATTCAAGTTGAAGAACCTATAAGAGCTATGAATTCAATTTGTGATGAAATCTGTTTCCATGATCTTTTTAATTTTCTCTTGTTAAGGGTTTGCTTAGTTGTCTCCACATGTTATTTCTACATTCACAGAGTTCCAGTAGGTTGTGAGCAGCATAGTTCAATTGTTAGTCACTTAATCTGAAAGGGGCATAGTGTAATCCTTTTTGTCATATATCAATTTCTGAATTGCAGCCCTTGGAATAGATTTTGGCAGGCATACTTTTTGTAGATTGGTATATTATATAAGAAATTGTTTCCTTTCTATTTTTCCTTGCCATTTCAGACTTTATCTGACGTCTTATAAGCTAATACCAGCTTAAAACAAATTTGCTTTAATAAAGACAGATTTCTTAAACTAGCTCCTTGTCTTAATGTTGCTTCTGCACCATCAAAAGGTATATCTATATCTCCTTTTCTCCTTTATATTATCCGACAAGCACATATATATAAGCACACATCATGTTAATCATTGGATTATTTGGGTGATCACCTGAATAGAGTAGCTTAGGGGAGCATTTCCAAGGCAAGTGGTTCAATAACATTATTATATTGAAATATTGAGTATGACTCTTTTAAGAGTGTTGTTTTGATTCTTATGATTGTTGAGTTTATTATTTGCTTGTAGTGTCAGATTCTTGATGTTGTCGTTAAACTAAATTTGGATCATTCTTGAAACAAGCTTCTTAATCCTCGCGCATTTGCTGGATGGTTTGGGCGGTCTTAGTTTGAGCTAAGTGCTATTTCATCAATCTATTTCTATTGCTGTGTGAATTTCCCTTTTGAAGTTAAAAACATGTTAAACTGATTGAAACTCATCAAAATCAATCATTTTTTGTAATACGCATGTTATATCTTAAGTTCTAATAAATCTCAAGCTTCCATAATAGGGTTGGATTCCTGGAATAGGTGATGTTATATCGAAATCTTAGTTGCTCGAAGTGGGAATGGGGTACATAAAAGAGTCTAAGGTTGAGAGTACCTATGGGAGTGTTTACATAAATTCATATAAAATATTATGTTGTAAGTCTATTTTTTTTTGTGCATAATTGTAATATATATATATATATATTAAATATGAATAAATAACAGAGTTTGGTGTCAAGTGCACATTCTTTTTATTTAAATATCAACAACTATTTTGTTAATATGAATTACAAGAATAAGTTTGAGCTAATTTTTTCTCTATAATCTGATGGTTGTTGTAGATTTTCTTTTAATTGGTATCTTTTGTTTAAATATATTAGACTCGAATAGGGTTTCCGGTTTGGGAGTTAGAGCCGGATTTCATTCTAGACAAATTAGTTTCTTAAGAAACTTAGAATTCGAGGTGTTAACGCCCCAAAATCACCAAACGGCGTCGGAGTGGCACAAAACTTGGCAGACACGACTGCCTAGGAACGAGAGACTTGTGAGAGAAGACGGGACTCAAATCGGGTTCCCGATTTGGGAGTTAGAACTAGATTTCACTCTTAAGAAACAAACTTGTTTTTTAAAAAACTTAGACTTTGAGGTGTTAATGCCCCAAAATCACCAAACGGTGTCGAAGTAGCATGAAACTTGGCACATGCGACCGCCTAGGTGTGGGAGAAGATAGGTTTTGAATCGGGTTCCCAACTTAAGAGTTAGAGCCGGATTTCACTCTAGGCAAATTAGTTCCTTAAAAAACTTAGAATTCGAGGTGTTGACGCCTCAAAATCACCAAACGGCATCGGATTAGCACGAAACTTGGCACATACGACTGCCAAGGCACGAGAGACTTATGGGAGAAGACGAGACTCGAATCGGGTTCCCGGTTTGGGAGTTAAGGCCGGATTTCACTCTGGACAAACTAATTTCTTAAGAAACTTAGAATTCGAGGTGTTAACGCTTCAAAATCACCAAACGGCGTCGGAGTAGCACGAAAGGCACATACAACCGCCTAGGCATGAGAGACTTGTGGGAGAAGACGGAACTCAAATCAGGTTCTCGGTTTGGGAGTTAAAGCCGGATTTTACTCTTAAGAAACAAACTAGTTTCTTAAGAAACTTAGAATTTGAGGTCAAAATCACCAAACGGCGTCAGAGTAGTACGAAACTTGGCACACACGACCGCCTAGGCACGAGAAACTTGTGGAAGAAGACAGGACTTGAATTGGGTTCCTGATTTGGAAGTTAGAGCCGAATTTCACTGTAGGCAAACTAATTTATTAAGAAACTTAGAATTCGATGTGTTAACGCTCCAAAATCACCAAACGGCATCGGAGTAGCATGAAACTTGGTACACACGACCGCCTAGGCGCACGAGCCTTGTGGAAGAAGAAGGGACTCGAATCAGGTTCCCTGTTTGGGAGTTAGAGCCGAATTTCACTCTTAAGAAACAAACTAGTTTCTTAATAAACTTAGAATTTGAGGTGTTAATGCCCAAAAATCACCAAACGGTGTCAGAGTAGCACGAAACTTGGCACACATGACCGCTTTGGCAAGAGAGACTTGTGGGAGAAGACGGGACTCGAATTGGGTTCTTGGTTTAGAAGTTAGAGCCGGATTTCACTCTAGGCAAACTAGTTCTTTAAAAAACTTAGAATTTGAGATGTTGACACCCCAAAATCACCAAACGACGTCGAATTAGCACGAAACTTAGGACACACGACCATTTTGGACGTGAGATTTGTGGGAGAAGACGGGACTCAAATCGGGTTCCTAATTTGGGAGTTAGAGCTAGATTTCACTTTAGGTAAACTAGTTCTTTAAAAAACTTAGAATTCAAGGTGTTAACGCTCCAAAATCACCAAACGGTGTCGAATTAGCACGAAATTTGGCACACACGACCGCCTTGGCACGAGAGACTTGTGGGAGAAGATGGGACTCAAATCGGGTTCTCGGTTTGGGAGTTAGAGTCGGATTTCGGTCTAGGCACAATTATTTACTTAATTATCTTTCTAATTGTATAGTAGTTAAATTTTTATGATTTTTTTTGTAATTAACATATTAACACATAATTATATTGTCATTAATTATTTTTATTTTTTTTTCAGATATTTCCGGAGTAGGAGTTTGCTTCTTGTGGATTTCATGCCTGGGAAGAATGCCACTAATTTTTGTTTTTGTACCACGGAGAATGCTAAGGAAAACCTTTAATTTTGATTTATGTTATTTTGAATTATGAATAACATTATGTATTTAAACATTATATATGTATTATGGAACATTATGTACCGAGTTAATTTTGTTGATGTATAGTTATGAATGCAAGAATATGTTTATTATGGAGAAATTATTACAGGAATTTTTATATTATTATGGAATTATTGGTTTTTTTTTAAAAAAAAAATCATTGAATACAAGCAACTTTAATATTTTTAATTAATTTACAGTAAGTTTTTTAGTTTTTTTTTTTCGACGGCACCAAACTATCGAAAAAAACAGGAATTTTATAATTTTTAATAAATATTGCATTTTTTGCAACGGCACCACATCGTCGCAAAAAAACAAAAACTTTTTTTGCGACATAATCAATGCCATCGTAAAAAAATAAAATAAAATAATTTGCGACGGTAATTTTTACCGTCTCAAATAATACTTTTGGCGATGGTAAAATAATGCCGTTGCAAAAAGGTCTCTATTTTTACGCATTATTGGTGACAATAAAATGCCGTCACAAATAGTAACATATGATGTTGTAAAAAAAAGGCGGCGACATAAGTTTTTGCAACGCTCTCCATTGTGATCCCTTGTTTGCCGTCGTTAAAAGTCATTTGCCGTCTCTAAAACTTTTTTGAGACGGCATAATGAGTAAAATGCCGTCGCAAAAAATCGAAATTTTTGTAGTAAAGGTTTAAACTTATAATTTTGAAGTTGAATAGGTAAAGTCATGTTTTATGATAATTGAATAGATTTTTGTGTAATTAATATAATAATTAAATATTCATCGTAATATTAATGGGTGAGATTTTGGCAACGTTAGCCAACTAAACCTTAGAAAGAGAAGGAATTAGAAAAAGTTATGTTAGAGATTTTAAAAATTTTATTAAAATTTTTATCAAATGTCTCACAGGGATGTGAGACTCATACAATGTGGGTCTCATACCCATGTGAAACATTTAATAGAAATTTTTGTAGAACTTTTTGACATTTTTAACATTTTTAAACTAGAAATAGATATTCCTAACAGCAGGATAATTTTTCACTAGTTTTAAATTATTTTTTATTTTTTTAATAATATTTTTCACTTCAATTTCTAACAATATTTTAAGAACAGTTATTATTAATATTTTCCATTAAAATTGATGATTCTCATTTTGGTTGGGTTCATCATGGGAAAGGAAAAGGTAAAAAAAAATCATGTACTCCTGTGGGTCCCATTGTTGAAAAAAATAATAATTCAAATTCTTTACCGTAAAACATTAAAATTATGCATGAGAAATTCAAAACTTTCTTATAAATAAAAGTAAATTATTAATATTTTTTTTCTTTCAAATTACTAGTACTATTTTTTATAACAAAATACAAATCACATAGTCTTGTGATAATTTACTTAAGATTGAAATTTTGAATGAATAATTAAAAAAAAATTAACATGTTTGTTAAAGGTATTAATTGATAAATTTTTTTTACAAATTATAGATTTTTTATTGTAGGCCTTTATTTGAAAATGTAAAATTATTTAACTTCATTAATAAAAGTCCTGTTAACGGTTGTCAAAAAGAGATCACATAATTCCAAAAAAAGTAAAATTTTAATGCATATTTCACATATTTTCATATGTTTATATATATTTTAATATATTTTTTTATATACCTTCACTTTGCATGCTATTTTTTTTTCAAAAAATATTTGATGGTACAATGTGTTATAAAGGAACAATTTTAAGTCTATATAAAATAGATAAAATTAGTATAATTTAAATTAAGTTTGAGTTTGTATAGAACTATATATGTAATTAAGAAAATATATGCTGATGTGGCTCTCTTAGAAAAAAATAAACTCTTTTAATATATTACCTAAGTATGAGAAAAATATTATTTTTAATAATATATATATATGATACCAACGTGAAGTTGGTAAGATGATGGTATTTTCCAATTAATAAATACCCTTAACAACTCATTTGCAAAATTCATATTTTAAAGTATTGGAGTTTTTTTTTTCTTTCAACTTCATGATCATATATTAATAAACAGTCCCGCTATGTAGCTTGAAAAGGAGACCTCCTAAATGGCCCGAAAGTAAGAATGGCAATGGGGCAGGGCCGGGGATCAATCTGGGCAGCAACACTAGGCTCCCAAACACAACCAACCTGTAACAAACCTGCCCAACACATCCCAAACTCAATATACAAAGTAAAGAAGATGCAAACAAGATAATAAACAACAACCAACATCCACGGACACATGTCCGGATCACTGTACAATAAGGGTAAACCCGGGATCGCTATAAAGTATGAGAAAAATATTATTTTTAATAATATATATATGATACCAACGTGAAGTTGGTAAGATGATGGTATTTTCTAATTAATAAATACCCTTAACAACTCATTTGCAAAATTCATATTTTAAAGTATTGGAGTTTTTTTTTTCTTTCAACTTCATGATCAGATATTAATAAACAGTCCCGTTATGTAGCTTGAAAAGGAGCCCTCCTAAATGGCCCGAAAGTAAGAATGGCAATGGGGCAGGGCCGGGGATCACACTCCCTGTCCCCGATCCCCGATCGTAAAAATTTCCTGTCCCCAGCCTCAATCCTCGACAGGAACCTATCACCGTCCCCGTCCCCGTCTCCTAACGGGGATCGGGTTTCCCCGACCCCGAAAATTCCCTGGACCAAAAAAAAAAACACAAAAACCAAACAACAGCGGCAATAACAACAATTCAACAACATCCTCAACATCATCAACATCGTTAACAACAACATCATCAAAACATCAACATCACAGAAAGGAAGAGAGATTTGAGTAGAGAGAGAGAGAGATCTGCACAGATCTATCGTGGCAGAGGGAACTGATGCCAGAGTATGGAGGTTCAGCAACTCTGGCATTACGGCAATAGCAGTGGCGCGGAGGAGAAGGCGACGGTACTATCTCTAATTTGGCGACGATGTTCAGTGCTCTCTCTCTCTCTTGTTCAGAGGAGGAGAAGGTGGCGCTGATCCAATGCTCTCTCTCTTTCTAAGTGAGTGAGTGAGAGAGAAAGAGATGACATGATGAGAAAAAGAGAGAGATTAGAGATAGTGAGGAAGAGAGAGAGATGTAAGGAAAAGAGAGAGAGTAGATATGAAATAAAAAAAATGAAATGAGAAAGAGAGAGAGAGAAAGAGAAAGAGAAACAGTTAATCAAAAAGTATATATATATATATCACTTTGGGGACAAACGGGGCCTGGGCTTGGACACTTATCACCGTTCCCAGTTCGAAATTGATTGGGGATTGATTTTTGAATACTATCTCCTGTCCCGTCGGGAGTATTTTTCGAAAAAAAATTGTTCAAATTGAGGCCGGGGGATCGGGTCCCTGTAACAACCATGACCCATGATTAGCGTTAATCTGTGCTTAGTTATGCCTAATAAGTAATTAAAGTGAAATGTTGCATCATGTGTTGCCTTATATGTGTTTATATTTGTTTAACATAGAAAGATCTGTCCATGATTCCGTTTCGGTTTGCGAATTGAAGACCTTATCAGTATCGAATTCAAAAATTGACTTGATTTATGTGTTATTTAGAATTTTTAGAACATTATGATAGGTTTACTTAAAATTCGATTCGGAACGATTAAATTAGATTAATTTAATGCTCACTTAATTAGCCTTAATTAATTATCATTAAGTAAGCCTATATAAGGCTTCTTATGTGTCTTCACTCTCTCTTTTTCTTCATTTCAACACATTTGAGCTCACACACACACAAGCAAAACGTGGGAGAGAGACAGAGATAGAA